TATAAGTGGTATATATATATAAGACTAAAATAACATGCATATTTATAAAAATCATTAAATGTCATTGTGCCTCTAATTCTAGATTTTCATTGTATTTTATTAACATGAAGTATTTTGAACCTGCTTCTCGCAGTGACTGTGAAATGATGGCTCTTCTGATTGACAAAAGAAACCTTTTACCATATTTTAGAGCAAAAGCCAATATTTTGTTTCCCAGAATTCCCTGCGTTACATTTCAAATTTGATGTTTTTTTGTTGAAATAACTATGTTTCTTCTTAGTTTTTTCTTATCAGTTTTGTATATTAGGGTTGTGTGTTACACCTAATGTTGTTAAATTAATGTTTATTGCATTATTTCAGTTTCATGTGTGTTTCATGTTCATGTTATTTCAGTTTGTGTGAATGACACTGTGCACCTTCTATATATGTTATTATTTAAAAGCTGCTTGTGATGGGCTTTGGTTCATCATGTGACTTTCTCATCACCACCTGCATTTGGTGGTTATCAGTGTATTACAAAGGTACAAAACAGATTTCAGTACTTCAATAGGTTGGTATATTAACATTATATCAGTTAATGAAATTACGGTATTTAACTGTAAATTTAAGTTAAAACTTAAACCGTTGCTACTGTATTTTTTACGGTAAAATTCTGGCAACCACAGCTGCCGGTTTTTTACCGTAAATTTTACGGAATTTTTTTTACAGTGTACTGAATATTTCTCAACCCTAATCCTAAGTATGTTAACCTTGTGGTGTTTATAATGCGTAAATGAACTGACAGGACTCAATGAATAGTGATTCAGTAAGAGATCAACATGTTGGTTTGAGCTCAAGGTCATTAAACTCGTAGATCTTTGCACAGTTAATGACTCATAAGCAGCAATACATGTTTTAATTGTGATATGTGTGGTACGTTGGTTCCCTGTGAACGTTTAGGTGAGTTTTCAAGACAAGTGTTCGTTGTGTTTTGTGTACAGTGGGGTCCAATCGCCTGAAAATGCTCCTATTTTGAATTATTTTCTAAATGAATACAGCTTTTTCATTACAAATTGTATTGTCGACGCAATAATCAAGTTCCTCGTGTTCAAATGAAAAATGTTTTAGACCCTGCAGCGTCATGTTGTGCTTGTTTTTCAGGCCTGACAGACTCACAAATGTGCTTTTTTACATGGAAACACTTCATTATTTGACTCTTTGGTACATAAACACACTCTTGTATCAATACTCTGAAACTGTTTGATGGTAGAGTTCACACAATTTGCTGAAAATGACTCGCCCACAGGCCATCCAAGTTTGCTTCTTCATCAGATTTAGATTAATCACTTGTTCACTAGTGCAGTGAATGGGTGCCGTCAGAATAAGAGTCCAAACAGCTGATAAAAACATCACAGTAATCCACACCACTCCAGTCCATTAGTGAACATCTGGAGAAGACAAAAGCTGCGTGATTGTAAAAAAACAAATCTTTCGTTAAGATGTTCCTTAACTAAACTGTTGTTTCCAACTAAAATGTGAGTCCATAATCCATAATAACGCTTCTTCCGGTGGAAAAGTCCATCTCCTGTTGTCTCTCACAAAATCCAGCCACATTTTTGATTAGAGCTGTTTTGGACTCTTTTGGCATGTAAACGGTGCAGATTTCTCTCCTGATTCAGACAAGATTACTTTTTTTTTACATTAGGAAACAATATAATGGGTTTTATTTTTTTGGCCAGAAACAATAGTTTGAAGTTCAAAACATCTTAACGATGGATGTGTTTCTTACAAACACAGCTTTTCACTTCACAAGGCATTAACTGATGGACTGGAGTTGTGTGGATTACTTGTGGATTATTGTGATGTTTTTATCAGTTGTTTGGACTCTCATTCTGACGGCACCCATTCACATCCATTGGTGAGATGGTGATGCAATGCTACATTTCTCCAAATCTGATGAAGAAACAAACTCATCTACATCTTGGATGGTTTGAGGGTGAGCACATTTTCAGCAAATACTCATTTTTTGGGGTGAACAATTCCTTTTAAGGGTCAGACTTACTGTCATTCTGTCTTCTGGAAAATTAAGTTTGTGCCTGTGCCAACAATATTGAGACTGGCAGGAAAGCTGGAGTGATTTGGAGAAGTTTCTTGTTTTATGGATCGTTCCCAACATCTCATTTTATTTCAGGTCTCCTGTGCCGGTACTCTCATGGTTTGTGAACCCTGTATAAATAAATGTATTTTTTCTATTATGATATTCTGCTTTATGTGACAGTTTTTGGTGGAAAGGATTTCAGAAGCTTTTTAGGTTATTGCATTTCATACCAAGTCCAAGTCTGTCAAATGCACAACAATATTGTATGCACCAATGTTTTTTGTTGTTCTTTTTATCAGAAGATGCAACTTGTGTCTATCAAAACATATATGCCATTTTTTCAAGTCTTCTGGATTTTGTTGATAGTTTGTGTGAGGAACGGACTGAAATTCAATGCACTGTTCATCGTTCAAGGCAAAATCTTCCCATCCACAACATGAATGAAGCTTAAATTTGAGTCAGTTGCATCACATCAAATCTATCATGCGACACAAGTTATATGGACTACTTTTAGGGAAAAGATATGCAACTGTATGTGGGTCAAAGACGAAAAAGGGTTTACGCATTAAAACAATAAGTGTAATACTGCTTTAAATTGTTGTTGTTTTTCCCCAAAAAAATTAAAAAGTTTTCTGTTTAATTTAATTGCACTTTTGTTTTTGTTTTTCCGAGCAAAAAATAAATATCATAAATTTTTCCCTGATTTACAGAAGAGACCCACTAAAATGTCATTCAGTGTAACAATCTTCTCAGGCATATTTACAACAAAAATCAATTTATGACATATTAAAAGACTAATTACTTTCACCCCAAATACTAATTAGTTGTAATTTTAAATTTTTTAAGGATTTGCCACTATCCTAGGTTTTGCCCATTTGTCAGGAAGAATTTTTACTCATTTAAAACACAATAAAAATTAATATGGTCCCTTATTCTTTTATATATTTTAATGTGCACAAGTCAGAATAAGCATGTTGTTTGAATTTTTACATAAATGTTGTGTTACACTGAATAACAATGCAACATTATTTCAACCAAATTTTGACATTTTATCCTCCAAAAACTTATTTGAAACCTTAAAAGTAGACACTGGACTTACATTTAATGTGCTTTCTATGGACATAAAATCACTTTTGTACATTTCTTTTGATGCGGACATATTAACATCTTTGACCCATATATAACCATTCTGCATCATAAACTCTCAGGATTCCTGCTGAACTCCTGATGAATCTCATTGGGGAAAAGGCAGAGAGGATCCAGATTTTGAGGAAATCTGCCGCTATGGTCGTCTGTTCTCCCGAATAATCCATCACAGCAGTTAAACAGGCAAGAAAGCTCACATTCACTCTGTCTGGTGTCATTAGCTCCTTCAGTTATTGTCCTGCACGGCTCTGGCTTTATGGACCTGCAGGAGAACGACAGAGACTTTGAGAATGAGACACTGGCAGGAAAGCTGGAGTGGTTGGAGAAGCACTGAGACAGAGGGAAACCAAGGTCAGGGAACAGACGGGAAATACTGGCTCGTCGTCTTGGAGCATGGAAACAACGGCGCTTCCCAGATTTTAGGAAAGCACTTTTTCTGCCGTATAAGCAAGTATCGTGTTACACTCTAAAAAATGCTGGGTTAAAAAGGGACAAACCCAGCTATTGGGTTGTTTTGACCCAGCGGTTGGGTTGTTTTGACCCAGCAGCTGGGTTGTTTTGACCCAACTGCTGGGTCAAAACAACCCAATAGCTGGGTTTGTCCCGTGTAGGCTGACCAAAGTTTTAGTGCTCAGAAGAATAATTGTCGCTTAATTAAGTAGTTAAATTTGGCATGTGGCCTCCAAAAATGGACTCCACTAACAAAGTACAATAGTATTACCATGGATTTTTAGACCCACCTTTTTTCACTGGTATGCTATGTTACAGTTTTTCTCAATTGCTTTGGCACATTTTTCGAAACAATCTTAACATTCTCTAAACTGTGAGTGCAAATGTCACAACTGTTTGCTGGAACTTCAGAACTTTATTGCATGTCTGCAAAATGTAGTTACTCACCCAAAACATTTCATTCATGCTTCAAAACCTAGTTATCGTGTCAGTAATTTGGCCAAGGCCACCAAAATATAAAGTATTTTTGTCATCGTGTGAGCCACACTGGTCAAAATGTTTAGTTGTTTTTTCACCATGACAGTCAACCATGGAAATGAAGGTTTTATGCTGGGTTATATATAACCCAGCTCTGGGTTAAAAAGGGACAAACCCAGCTATTGGGTTGTTTTGACCCAGCGGTTGGGTTGTTTTGACCCAGTTATTGGGTTGTCCCTTTTTAACCCAGCGCTGGGTTATATTTAACCCAGCATTTTTTAGAGTGTAGTTCATGAACATGGAAATCATTCAGTCCCATGATATCAAACCAATTCTGAAGTGGGTTGCTGGCCAAGACAGATGGGGCTGGTAAAGTTAATTAGTTTTAATGAGGAGAGCAGTTGGCCAACTAGGTAAACCAGCAGAATACTAGCTTTCCTTGGTTTTAAGACCAGCTTAATCCATTTTAAGTTCATTCTAGGCTATTTTTCACATCACTACTACAACTCGCAGGCAAGTTTTACTCCACACAGGAGCAACTTCAGAGTAGAGTAAAACTAGAAAGATGGATAAATTACTACTTTTACTCAGCAAGGACGCATTAAATTGATCAAAAGTAAAATGTTACAAACGATTTTAAATAAATGCCATTCTTTTGCACTTTCTATTCATCTGTGAATCCTGAAAAATAAAATTTATCACGGTTTCCACAGAAATATTCAACAGCACAACTGTTTTCAGCATTGATAATAATCAGAAATGAGCAGCAAATCAGAACTGATTTCTGAAGGAACATGTGACACTGAAGACTGGAGTAATGATGCTGAAAATTCAGCTGCGCATCACAGGAATAAATTACATTTTACAATATATTCACACAGAAAACAGCTATTTTAAATGTTAATAATATTTCACGATTTTTACTGCATTTTTTAATCAAATAAATGCAGCCTCGGTGAGCAGAAGAGACTTTTTTTTAAAAACTAAAAATATTCCTTTTTCCATCACAGGAATAAATTACATATATCACATAACATACATATCACATAGGAAACAGCTATTAAATTTTAAATGAAAGACTATTAAAAGATTTAAAAGGTGTAATGATATAATACAATATTACTGTTTGTCAATAGTTCATAGCAGATGTCTTGTTTTTTCTCGAGAAGAACAACACATATTTGGAATCTTTTGACTGTGAGTTTTCTGCCAAAAAAAAACTTTTAATAAATGCTTTAAAGGGGTCATATGATGCGATTTCAATTGTTCCTTTCTCTTTGGAGTGTTACAAGCTCTTGGTGCATAAAGAATATCTGTAAAGTTGCAAAGACTAAAGTCTCAAATCCAAAGAGATATTCTTTATAAAAGTTAAGAGTCAACCACGCCTACCTAAAACGGCTCGTTCTAACACGCCCCCACATATCTACCTCACTATGTGGGAAGATTTGCATAACGCCGCCCAAATGTTCAAGCAAAGAAAGAAGGCGTAACTTCTATTCTCGCTGTAGTATTGTTGTTGCCGCCACCATGTCGTGAAGGTGCTGTGTGTTTCGTTGTGAAAGCGAAACTACTTTGTTTGGTCTTCCAAAAGAGGACGATATCCGCTTCGTCATGCCTGGAGCTGATCTGTGCTGGTCGCTGAGGAAATACATCAACTTCGCGCTGTGGATCGCCGGATCGGCTTTCACCGTGGACGAAGAGGAGTCCAGCTCGGGGTCGTCACATGTGGTTGGCGCAAGCCCGCCGGACGCTCCTTCGTCGAATCCGCCGCCTCTGCATAAATGCGTAAAAAGACAGTATAAGTCATTATAATCAGTAATTATGTCCCCACTGGATGCAACAAATGCCGCATTTATAATGGGTTTTACTGGTTTTGTCTCGTTGCGCCGGGACACGGCATCACAGTATGGTAAGGGCGTAACATTTCCGTCACACGCTTGAGGTATTCGGCCAATCACAACGCTCTGGATAGCTGGCCAATCAGAGCACACTTTTTACAGCTTTGTAAAAATCGACTTGTTTCAGAAAGGCGGGGCATAGAGGAGAAACAATAATGTACAGTATGTGGAAAATAATGTGTTTTTTGAACCTTAAACCGCATAAAAACATTTCATTACACCAAATACACAAAATAATGTTCTTTTTAGCAACATCATATGACCCCTTTAAATAACCTTGCATGCCTCCTGGGCAATAAAACACAAGGCCAAACTTCAACAAACACTGCTATTATCTGGAATGTTATATGAATAATAGAGATGCATAACTATCCTGCATGACTGTTCTGTCATCGATCAATCCATACAAACCGTACGAACAGCACTATCTAGGTCTGTTCATCTTAACATGATTTCTGCTTTACTCCTCTTCCTTTTTCAGGCTTCAGCAGGCTGTGGGAGATTCAATTTGTTCAACAAACATGCTTGTGTTGCCATCCAGTGGATGATGGATGATCTACATTTGCACTAGTCTTAGTGAGGTATAGTGTACAACGAGGAAGAGGTTTTCAGCCATATCTCAAGATATGGATGTCTCAATTATGTGTCTTTTAAGTATAAAGTAAATATCCTCTGTTAAAAACGGACCTTAAATGAGTCTCCGCCTTATTTTTAACGTAAGAGTGAGCGCGGTCATTTATGTGCACGGCTTCCGGTCTCATTCACGTCAGTTATTTTAACTATACATAAGTCCGTTATGCCACTTTATATTGAAAACTAGTATTTGTTAGTATATTATTTTAATTCATATTCATAATCATATGCACATATGATTTGTAGCGCGAATCACTGCACTTTATTCTTCTAGACACTTACAGTGGCTAATGGACCGGAAGTCGCACACATTCAAGGCAAAGCTTACTTCCACGTCGCAAAAATAAGGTGGCTAGAGCTGTACATTTAAGGTAGAGCAACTCAGATCATATGATGAGAAAAGTTTTCAGATCATATTGTGATCTGGCTTAAATTGCCGATCCTGAGCAAGTTTGAGACATTACTGATCTCTTCTGAAACTCTAGAGGAGACTCGTGTGAGATTATTGGAGTCTCTTTCTCAGGAGAAACAACGAACTCTAAAGGTCCTTGCGCACCGAGTCTGAAATTTTCATATGCGTTTTTTCGTATTCGTCATCCTTTCTTATCAAAATGCTTGCTATGGATGCGAAAACGCAGAAAATCGAACCTTATCCGAATTTTTTATCACAGACGAAAGTTTCGGAGGCAGTGTGTAAATGTGATTGACACGTTGAAAATTTTGTGTGCAATTACCTTAAGTCATTTAGATAAATCCCAAGTAAACCATTTCTTCCATTCAATTCAGAAGCTTTTCTTAAACATTTTTAATGTCTGTTTTTCAGCTGTATGGTGTGCAGAGGTGGAGGAACATTTAGTAAACTACTTACTCTCCCCTGACCGATACAACAAGCTGATCCGTCCGGCAGTCAACAAGAGCCAGCAGGTCACCATTGCAATCCAAGTGTCCCTTGCCCAGCTCATCAGTGTGGTGGGTAGTTGGAACATGAAAAGCTGCCACACATGGCACATTTGATTAATTCAATGTTTATAATATGTTTATGTTTGTATTTCAGAATGAGAGAGAGCAGATCATGACCACAAACTGTTGGCTCACTCAGGTAAGAGAAGCGGAACTTTTGTGTTTGGGTTGTAATTTAAATAAATAAACAATAAAAGTTTTTTTAAATTATGTGTCTTTTGCAGGTATGGAATGATTACCGGTTGATGTGGGATCCAGAGGAGAAGAGGAACGTCTCAGGTTACGTATGTAACCCTGGTTCCTCGAGGGAACGAGACGCTGCGTCTCGGTGCCATACTTCTGGCATCCCTGCCAGCGCTTGCCTCATTCCTGAAGCTGACGCTGGGTCCGCCGCACGTGCTTTTATAGCTTCCTGGTCATGACGTCACCCGCCCGTGATGTCCCGCTCAGCTATTGTACTGATTTCACATGTGATTCAGAGCGTGGTCACAGAAGGCGTTCCCCTAGCGTTTTCCGACGCAGCGTCTCGTTCCTGAAGAGGAATCACAGGTAAGTAAGTTTGTCAGGGTTGGAGCTAAACTGTGCAGCGCATTGGCCCTCCAGGGCAAGATTTGAGGAACCCTGGTCTAGACCATGCGTACGCACTCTTCTACTGGAGGGAGTGAAACAAGGAAGCAAACAGAATGATTTTAAAGTCTGTTTTACATTTGACATACACATTTAGATTAAATATGACACTCCGAATAATGAAATTAAGCACAAAAATTTCATGAAATTATTATCCAGAAATTACAACATTTTTATATGAATTTAAACAGAAATATTTGCAGTGGATGTGCGGCTTTCGAACTATTTTCCTGTGGTATACGATTTAATGTTTTAATCACAGCGAGGATTGCTTGGCGCATGACAATTCCGCTTTAAATTGTGTTCTAAATAGCAAAACTCATGTTCTGAGAAAATACTCTTCAGGATCATTATAAAATCACAGGTAGGTGAGTTTGATCAGGGTTGGAGCTAAACTGTGCAGCGCATTGGCCCTCCAGGGCAAGATTTGAGGAACCCTGGTCTAGACCATGCGTACGCACTCTTCTACTGGAGGGAGTGAAACAAGGAAGCAAACAGAATGATTTTAAAGTCTGTTTTACATTTGACATACACATTTAGATTAAATATGACACTCCGAATAATGAAATTAAGCACAAAAATTTCATGAAATTATTATCCAGAAATTACAACATTTTTATATGAATTTAAACAGAAATATTTGCAGTGAATGTGCTTCTTTCGAACAATTTTCCTGTGGTATGCGATTTAATGATATGCACGTTTTATTTTCAAAATGTGTTATTATTGACGCCGTGAGTCAGCTATTTACACTGCAAAAAAATAAGGCCTATCTCTTTCCATTAAAATATAGGCTATAAACATTCTAAAATATATGTTTACCTTTTAGGCAAATTGCATAAATTAGAATAGTGATGTCTCAAAATGCATTTATAGTCCGTATTTCCTAACGTATTCCTACCCTTAACTGCATTAAACATGGTGTCACGTGGATGGAAATATACATGGAAATGATATGCAGATGACGTTATGCATATTAAAACTAGGCGTTGTAAGCTCCATATATGGCTATTTGGGGGAGGAGACGGGGTGGAGATTCATGTACGCACAATCTTCCGCTGACTGGCTATTACAAAGGGAATTTTGCCTTTACATGGCTTTATAAATCTGAAAACTTTTGTACGTACGCAAAATCCAGCTTTTGTGCGTACGCACACATTTAGGATGAAATCTACGTAAAGTTTTATACATGAGGTCCCGGGTCGTATTTATTTTTTAACGTGCGAAACTTTCGGACGAGAATTTCAGACTCAGTATGCAAAGACCTTCATTTGGGAAATATTTTAGACTGTCATTTGTGAAAATTAGGATAAATTGATTTTTTTATAATTAATTTAGGCTACATCAGAACTTACATGGTTCATATATTTAAAACGAAATGGTTCATGTCATCTTCAAGTGTTTTCTTTTAGTCACAGTCAGTGCTTGAAGTGGGCCGGTACGCACCGGCCTTTAGCCTTTAGAGTACCTGCACTTTTTTGTGCGTACCGGCGCTTCTGACATGTTGCTGGTATACTCAGAGTAAAAGCATCAGGGTCTGGGTGATTATATGATCCCATAATATGATTAGAAACGACACGATATAAATCACACTAACCAGGCGGGATCACCTCTCATCTCGACCAATCACGTGAATGAATGCATGTCAGGGGAGGCACGCAGAGTAGTAGAATAATAATTAATTATTGATTACTAATTTGAATCAGTACTTTATAACGAAAATAATATCTTAAAATGAAAAGAAGCAGTCTTTTGCGATCACGTCATTTTAAACCGGTAAACTCCTGTGGAAAGTCCAAGGATCCAGTAAACGAATTCAAACAGTAAGTTCAAAACAGCGCTAATGCAGAGAAAACACGGCCGATTTCATCAGCGATTGCCAGTAAAATTATTCTTTTCAGCGTGTATTTGGTTTAAAAGCAAGAGTGTTTTATAATGAACGCTGATTATGCGGTGGTCAGAGGTTTAGCGATTCTGAATGGATCCGTATAGTAGTAAAGGCAGGCGATTTAGTGGTCTTTGGCGTCTCCCTGTGGTCCTGTTTGGTATCGCAGCTTGACTTGTGCTAATTTGTATTGAAAACTTTTATTTAATTATTGATTGATTGATTGTGGCACTATACATACATTGTATATTTATACACACTATACATACAGTGTGTATTTATTTATATAATATAAATAAATGGGGGGGGTGAGTACCGGCACTTCTTTTTTTCTACTTCAAGCACTGGTCACAGTGTGTTGTTAACTGGTTTTGAGTTCTTTAAAACATACTGCATTTACATTCTTCAGTCTCTGAATCCACAAACCCAGTGTTCCAGCATCTGGTGAATGAATGAACAAATTAACGTGGTTTTGAAAATTGTAGGAAAACAAAGGATAAAACGTCACCACATCACTTCAAGGGCTTCATTTAACCCAGGTGAGTAAGTTTATTTCACAGGTGTCTGGTGTTTAGTGTAACTCTGTTGTTCTTGTGGCTGGTTGTGGTGAGTGTTGGTGTGTTAAATCTTCTGTGGTTTCCCCGCTGTCATCTTCAACACCGCTGGATGAGCGCTGACTCTGTCCAGACGTCCCTCCAGAGAACTTCACACACTTTGTAGATTTCTGTGACAGAGAAAATTCACATTTATTACTCTAATAAATAATGCAGAAACTTTAAAGTCGTGATGAAACAAAAGTAGCGACTGATCTTTTCTTCCGTATTGTGATGCACGTAACAAAAAAAGTTGGGGCGGAGACTTGATTATATCTGCCAATTGTCGATTGGATGTTGAGGTGTGGGCGTGGCACTCAAAAATGGAGGCGGGTCCGAGCTTTCAGTAGATTGTAAGAAAGGGGCGGAGTTAATGCAGACTAATTTCATTTAAAGATTAAAGAGTTATGATGTTTCAATTAAAATTATGATGTAAAAAAAAACTATGAATCACAATATCATGCATTTATATGTGATTTTTCAGTTCATGCGTGTGATCACTTGGCATCATGTACTTATTTACATGTTGTTCCAAACCCTATGACTTTCTTTCTTTCATGTAGCACAAAAGCAGATGTTTACAAGAGCCATATATGTGAGTAAGTGATGACACAATTGACATTTTTAGGAGAATGAACAGTTTTAACCCTTATAGGTGTACCTTTTTAAAAAGTGAATTAGAATCAGACCTGTTTATTGCTCACTCCTCGTGGATAGCGTGCAATGTCGTCTCTCCTCCGCTCCACTTTTTCCCAGTCTTCTTCCCAGAGATCCCTCCTGTAGTCGGATTTCTGCGTCGTGATTCGCTTGTAGATCGCCTGGTTTTCGTGAGTCACCTGAAGAAGCTCCTCCCTCCTTTTCTCAGCATTCAGACTGTAAAACAGGTCAACTAAAACTATTAAAAACATTCTATTTTCGTTACTTTAAATAAATGTTACCTGAATTTAAATATAGGCTATATGTGACCCTGTTGCACAAAACCAGTCATAAGGGTCAATTTCTTGAAATTAGCAATGCATATTACTAATCAAATATATATATATATATATAAATGCTTTAAATACATATTTACAAACAAAAACCCGCTGAAAATCACAAAAACACCATAAAATTACATTAAAATAATTCTAATTACTATAAAAATTTTTATAAATAAAAAATATAATAAAAACATTTATGAAACTGCTGAAAAAAAACAAAAACACAAAAACTACTTAAACCTTAATTAAAAGAAAAAAGAAAACAGAATAGAACATATAAAAAATATATTAAAAAAATACAAAATATTAATAAAAGTTAAAAATAAAAAATACTATATAGACATATATAAAAAGAAAAAAACAAGAAAAGAATAAATAAAATGAAGGGAAAAATCACAAAACACAACAAAATTACCAATATTAAAAATAAAAATTAAAGACGATGTAAAAGCAAATTCTAAATATTATTAAAAACATTCTAAATAATAATTTATAAAAAACACTATACAGACATTAAAAGCTACTGAAAATCACAAAAACACAACAAAATTACTAAAACTTTAACTATAATTAAAAACAAAACAAAATATTATCATCAATAAAAATGTAGGCTATTTAAAAAAATACTATATAGACTTAAAAAACTAACAGAAAATCACAAAAATACACAGCAAACTTACTATAACTTTAACTAAAACTGAGACAGAAAATTAAAACAAAAAATATAAAACTATAAACAGAAAATGTGAAACTAAAATACAAATTAAAAACTACTTTAAAGTATTGTATGTTATAATAATGAAACTAAACTAACACTGTATTACTAAAACCTAAAGATATATCGTTTTTACATATTCTGAAGGAATTGTGCATGGAACTGTAAACAGTAAAACACTTCACCAGTCCTTCCGTCATACTGTACAAAAACACAAACAGTAAGACCACAACCCTTCCACCGACCGACAGATCGCTCAGGTTTGATGGAGAATAGCTTACGTGTCTCTCAATAATTCATAAAGGCTTTGTCACCAGCCCAGCATGAATGATTCATCCGTCAGTGTGAGATCCGCAGATGACACGAGACGCCGCGGGAGAAGAGACACCAGAAACCCTTCTCAAATAAACAGCTCCTAACCAGGTCAGCGTGTTACTGTGTTAACTAAACACTGACCGCCACA